TTATATACATACAACATACATATGCATACAATGTACATGTAAATACAACCTAGATTATCCATATGCAATACACCTTCATCTGCATACAGATTATACTTTCCTTTTGCTATAGCCTACAGTTGCACACAATATACATTTCGAGACAGTGATCAACTTTAAATATAGGTTGGATATAACATTCATTTTTGCAATTTCCAGATTGTTTTCAAAGACATCCAACCAAGAGATGTAGAGCTTGCTGTTATTCAACTTCCTCTGGAAGGCGTTGAGGTAGATACCAGCCCTACCAATACTCATCCAGACAAGCATGCAGATGATCAGGATGATTTGGATGACTTTAGTCCTACACCGCATCTTCAGCCTAAGAAGAAATATGATGCAAGTATTGGACCTTCTTCATCTCCGCCCCACAAGAAGCGCAAAGAGCAGATTATAGATCACTCAGAGGCAGGGACTAAACCCAATACTCCTTATGCTGGTGTATCTGAAGTCAATCAAAATGTGGTGCATGATAAGAAGCCGGCAGATTCTAAAGCGGATGAACTATCTTCTTTGAGGAATGATCTAAATTCATTCAAAGACTACGTGATTTTTGTATTCCATTAGTAAAATAATACAGTTTTGTTATGTAATATTCATATATTTTTCCAACACCTATCTAATTCTTTATGTTTTGCTTAGGTGACGGGCGAGTTTACGACTTTAAGAACATTGATCAATGAAAACTTCAACAAAATTTATGAACAGATTAAAGCAAATCAGCCCACAGTGACACGTGATGATGGTATTCAAATGTCGCATGATGTCGACTTGCAAGATAATCTCAAAGGCCAGCCAAAGAGTGATATAACTGGAGGAGAGAATTTTGAGGTTACCAATTTTTTAAACCTCTGTTAGTTTATGATTCTTATTTATTCACATTAATCATCTATAAGACAACATACAAATTTTAAAATACAAGTAAACATATGTTTATTAAGTTATACATAACTATTTAATTATATATATATATATATGAACTGAGACATGTATGTAGTTGTATATACACTTAATTTCAAGCTGTATTTTGTTAATATATATTGTATGTTCAAGATGCATACAAACTAAAGTTCATCACATACATCTGAATACATACAGCTATATACACCATCTGTATACAACTGTTAATCCTCACATACACCTGTATACATTACCAGAAAAACATAATACAGTTTGTTAATTTTTAACCTTCATAGAACACTCATATACATCTGCATACATTATAGAATACAGATGGTAATCCTGTTTGTGATGAAGCAATGGTTGATGGGAATAATACATCTGAGACGCTGTGTATCATACCACCTAAATGTGTATCCAAAGAAGTACATGCATCACAGTTTGAGTTGTCGGACCATTTTCTTCCAAGTTAAGTTCCAGAAGCTAGAATTGTGATACATCATGCAGCAAAAAAATCCAACAGATGCAACCCCATTAGCCTCACATAGGAATCGGCATCCTAGTAGATGGTATTCTTCGCCTTATGAGTCAAACTTTGACTCCGCAGGTTAGTAAGTTATTTAAAAAAACAATGAATTATAAAGATATGATCTTCTTCCCCCTTGTTTACAAAATTAAATGTTTGTATTCATGACTTTCCTGTACAATAGGCATCTCAGTTAAGTTGACTCCCATATTTGACAAGAAACACCCATTTGAAGATGATTTGATTTCGGGACCACATCCTACATTAGTCATTCAGGAGTATGAGAAATGGGTTCGTGAAGGTCTTCTTGCTAAACATTACCAAAAGTAAGTTTTTTAGTATAAGTGTCTATTCAATATATTGATAATTTAAATAATAGACATATTGTATTTTGAAATTCATTGTAGAAGTGATTTGGAAGACCATTACAAAAAGAGCAAGTCAACATGGCATATACCGTTGGATTTTGGCGTTGATCAAGTCACTTCAAAAAATTGGTTTTACCTTCTCTCATCTGACGGCAAAGTATGGAATGACAATGTAAGACTCCTTCCACATTCAGTATGTTAGATCTACTTCGATCATATACAACATACTTGTATTATGCATCATGTATGAAACATAATTTTACAAATCTGTTTTTCAGCACTTGATAGAATACATACAACTGCATGTGTTCACTTATGTTGACAGCATTTGATATTTTATGAATATCATTCAGTGTACTGACATTGTGTATTCCATTTTAAATGTAGCATATTGATGTCATCTTTTACTACTTAAGAAAGAAGAGAAAGTACAACCCAATACCCAACTTCAAGTATACAGCTGTTGATTGTATATTCAAGACAAGAATCGCTGAAATATTCGACAGGTATGCTGATACATATAGTAATGCTAATGTAGCCAAAGAAGAGGATGTGGTATGTGAGTACATAAGGGGCTACAGATTGCTTGCTAATGTACCATGGCATACTGTTGATAATGTCTTGATACCAGTCAACTTGAAGGACAAACTACACTGGGTATTGGCTGTTGTCTCATTCAAGGAGAGATGTATCAAAGTGTATGACTCGTATAGATCTGCAGGTCATGATGCCTATGTAGCTTCTGAGATTGATAAGCTAGCTAAGCTACTACCTCTGTATCTATCAATCAGTGGCTTTTACAGAGATAGTCAAGGCATAGATTGGTCTACTTACTCAGCATACACTAACAAGTCACATAATGATCCCTTTGAAGTTTTTTTCATAACAGATCTGCCTCAACAGAAAGCTGGGAGCATGTAAGTATTCAATCATCATTCTTGTATGTTATATACAAATCTAATTGTATGAATTATTTTTAATTGTTTCAATCAATTATTTTTTAGGGATTGTGGGGTGCATGTTGCAGCATACGCAGAGTTTCTAAGCACTCTTGGTGAGATTACACAAACAACATTTAATTTCAATCTACTCCGTCAAAGATATGGTGCTCTCCTATGGAAATATGCTATGCAGAAGATAGACGCTGGTGCCATAAGCGAGAATGAAGCACCTTCAAAGATTGCTAGGCAAATACCGGAGGCAGATTCAAAGATGCAGATAGTGTTAGAGTAGCTTTAGGTTAATGTAGTTTTGGAATGTAGTTTGAAGAAGAATACTGTTTTGAGTAGTTTTTTGGTGAACATGGTATTTAGTTTGAAAAACTTATCACTTTATCAATAGTGTTAGTGCATGACAATTGCAACTTCTCAATCTCTGTTTCACTGGTTTGTTCTTAAGTTTTCATGCTTATTCTTCAGTTGGTATTCATATGTATCTTACAGGATTCAAGTATGTATTTATATTCAGTAACTTTGCATGACTAGGTTTTAGGTGTTGAACTTGTTAATATCAAAGTCAGAAACTTTATTTATTCTGATGGTAGGTTATATTAAAGAATTCGGATGTTTTTTTCTGAATTCAGGTGTATTCAGTTGTATTCGAATGTATATTTCAGCTGTATTCACATGTATTCAGCAGCATTCATTTATATATTTTAGATGTATTAAAAAATTTATGTGTATTCTCTTGTATTCAGTTTTAATTAGTTGTATTTAACTGCTTATTCAGCAGTAGTTAGTTGTATTCAAGTGTTTTATACAACTGTATTCAGTTGTAGTTGGTTATATTCAACTATTTTATTCAGCAGAAGTTAGTTGTATTTTGTTGTATTCAAGAGTTTTATTCAGCTGTATTCAGTTGTATTTTGTTGTATTCAAGTTTTTTATTCAGATGTATTAAGTTGTATTTTGTTGTATTCAACTGTATTCAGTTCTACTCAACTGTATTATTCATATGTATTTCTCTTTATTCAGCTATAATCTTTATTATGTATCTTTCAAATTCAGTTAATATTTGAAAAAGAATATCAATTCAGATGTATTAAACAGGTTATTGTCTAGTTAGAAAATATAAATTCAGACTTATTGAAATTGTTATACTACAGCTGAGTATATAGATACAACTATATGTATTCAGAAAATGAGATTTTATTACTGCACAATGTCATCATAAGTATTGACAAATCGTTGAAGCACCAATACATGTCAGAGTGTTAACTATTTATTACGTGGAGAATTTCTACACGTTCGCTTGTTATGTCCTCCCTGACCATATATGCTACATGAATGTTGATTTTCGGCTGCAGCAATTCACTTAAAGGTTTATCGCGCTTCTTCTTTGGCCTTCCAGGAGGTCTTTTCCATTTGGGTGGTAGTACAACCTCTTCTGCAACATGTGCTGGTATATTCCAGTCATTTCTGTCCGGTAGCGGATACACAGGCACATCGTATGCCATTACAATAGTATTTGGTTTGTAATAGTTAGAACAATATTCTTCTGGCATTAGAAACTTGCTCTTCAATACAGCCCAAGCATGTGGGCATGGCAATTCATCAACTTGGAACCTCCCACAAATACATTTTCTCTCTAACAGGCAGACTGTGTAATTTCTCCCACCATCGTTAACCGTATATAAGTATTCAGTTGATAATACCACCTACATTTAAAAATAGAAATATAAGTTTTGAACACATTTACCTGAATTACCAAATGTATAATGCTGAATTAATAAGTTACATACAACTGAAACATTTGCATATATAAGAATACATCATATATTTAGACCAGCAAAATATCAACTGCGAGAAGTGCAGAACTTTTCAAAAGTCTGCTGTACTTTAGGCAACAGTATGCTAACGAAAGCATTAGAATCATACGTATTCATAATACATATAAAATTACATATCATAGAGCTAGTTGTATTCTGATGTATTCCAATTGTTTTTCCAGCATGTTTTTAGTTATATTCAGTTGTATTCATATCAGATCTATGGAAAAATATGTCTTTTATGTGCTTGAATATAGTTGTATTCATATATATTAATGGTAGTTCTACTTAAAAATGATTGTATTCAGTTGTATTCATGCCACTAATTCAGAAAATAACTAAAACTATATACAGCAATAACAGTAAAATTTAACTTACAGTCATACGTGTAAACATTGTCTCATTCAACTCCAGCATCTCCTGGTATTTTTTTCCCAAGTGTCTTGTATGTCTGTGTAGCTTCTTTGCGGTTACTACAATTCCAACGTCCAAACATCTTCCTAACTTCTTCGAGGAAGTCGTATATTGGCAATTCCCTTGCTGAAACTAGTGCGACATTGATTGACTCAGCAATATTTGACATCATTGTCCATCCCCTGTTAACAGGTGCATACAACCTAGCCCACTTTTCGTAACCAGCTAACTCTAAGTATTCTTTAACCCTAATATCTACCTTCTCCACCTTCTCCATCAGACTGTCAAATTCAGCTTGTGTGTATGCTTTTGCCATTGAGAAGTATAGCTCGCTGAACTTGGCATGACTCTTTTTGAATTTCTTATATACGTTGTTCCATAGATGCCATATACAAGCAAAATGCGGTACAGCTGGATACACTCTCGATACAGATTTAATGATACTCTCATTTTTATCTGAAACGATGCACATGTTTTCCCTTACACCGTATGCTATCTTGAATTGCTCAAAGAACCACGTCCAAGCAGCATCGTTCTCTGAATTAATAACACCATATGCTAGTGGCAATATATGACCTGTAACTACAATTGAATATAATTATTTTTAAACCATGTATTTCAATATTTAAAATATTAACAGATTGTATTATTATTCAGATACTCACCTGCACCATCCAACGTGCTTGCCGAAACGAATGTCCCGGTGTAGTAAGATTTTAGGTGACTTCCATCCACAACAACAATTGGTCTACAATGATCAAACCCCTTTATAAAGGCATACAATGATATATACACGTACATGAATTCATTTTTTGGCGATTTTACCATTCTGATGTGGGAACCTGGATATGTCATATCCATTGTATATAAGTATCCTGGTAATTTTTTGTACGAATCAGCCGATTCGCCTCTCAGAAAATTCATTGCCTTTTCTTTAGCCCTCGAAGCCAACATGTAGCTAACATCTACACCTAAATCTGATTTCACATCATCAATAATATCCCTCAAAGTGTATTTCCTCTTATGGTTTGTAAGCTTTGGCCTTATAATTCCACCTATAAGGCTGCTACTAACCTGCCGCTGCTCGTACACCTTGTCCTTCAGCGGACATATATGGTTATCATTGAATTCTCTCACCTTGAATAGTTCTGATTTGTTAATGCTTGAAGCCTTAAACCTCCATTCACAATCTTCTGAAATACATAATAATGCATAGCTGCAAATAATTAAGGAAATTTTACATTTGATTAGCATAATTGTTTACAAAAAATACAGCTCATACACAGACAAATACAATCTGACATATATACATCCTAGCATATATATATATATATATATATTTGTATACTACTGAATTCATTTTAGTTGTATGCGTTTAAACACAATGAATACAACTGAACACACTTGTATGTATATGCAAACACTTAATACCACAATGTACAAAATAAGAACATAATTAGAGCCACTGTTGTGTTTTTACACCAGTAAAATACATTTGAATACATGTATTTAAGGACCCTAAACAAACATATGTTTACTTCAAGTGTGATCACCAATAGGAAATACACAAATACGCATAAATACGACAACGTTAAACTTACAGCACCATCCAATAATAGAAAATACAAAGGAAAAAAAATTTGAATACATGCAAACCTGACAGCATTAGACCTATCAACCCGGAATTGAAACCTTTGAGCTATAGCATAATTCTCCATCACCTCTTTCAATGTAGCCTTATCCTTATAAACTTGTCCAGCCATAACCTCCTTTTGATTAGTTTTTGAAATTATCAAATCCTTGTGGAGTTCGAACACTCCAATCGCTTCTCCTGAATTGACAAAATCTAGAGCCATTGTATCATCTATATCGGAATCGTACCTTTGAACTGCTTCGTCTATTTGCACAATGTCTCCTTGATTCAAACTACCTCCGGATATAAGATCTTTTTCGATAGTTGTTATGCACAACGGATACATCCCAAATTCTCTGTTCTCTTTTTTCAATTCTACATACACTCTATAACCCATATCATTGTGTATTTCCATTGGCGTGCAATTTCCTTCTACTTTGTATTGTATTTTAATGGTCTTTGAGCTCAAATCTACGCCCAGTTGATTAGAAATTGAAGCAACCAGATCATTAAAGGAGGCATACTCCTTTATTAGTATTCCCTCAATTGAAAAATCGATGTAATTGCCCTCATCGTTCCACTTGCCAGAATGACGCAACAAAACTGTTAAACTTGCCATATGTATAGAGGAGTTATACCTTATTTTGTATATAATTTGTATCAATCGAAAAAAAGGAGAAGAGAATGGCAGAATATCGATCAGATGTTGCTCTGCTTTTTCGCTTTTTTCACGTTTCTGAGTTGCTTTCTTTGAGCAGAATACAGATTAATGAGGGATCGTTTTAGTTCGTTGAGTTAAATTAGGAGAATATCATGTCATTTTCCTTCCGTCTTTAACCAGTTTAATCTTCCAGATTTTGCGCAGATACGTTACTGTATTTAACGTTAATTCCGCTTGAATACAGCTAAATACATGTCAAACTTAGCTGGAATTCCCGTTTTTACGCCTATTTTTTTTGTTGTATTAATGAATACAACAGCTTAAATACATGAAATACATTGTATAAAAACATAAAAGGTATCTATAACACGTAATATAGCAAAGGGTATCTATAAATGGCTAATTAGACCTAAAAGATGGTGATTTATGAAAAATTCTCTTTTTTGTACAGATAACAATGGGCCCAATGAAACCTTCAGATTGTAAGATTTCCACACCCAAAACCAACTTGTTTTCAAGAAAACTTTCATACCAAACACAACTTAAATGAATAACAAATTTCTTCAACAAATAACTATAAGTAGCATGTGAACTATTCATTTTTTTGAATATAAATTATTTTACTTTATTGTTTTATTAGTTATCAAATCCTTGTTTTCTACTAAGTAACACTAATATTGAATGTTTATTTAGCAAAATTTTGTACATCATTTTCTCAAGTTACATATTTTATTTGATTTCACATTAAAAAGATAATAATCAAAAGTACAAACTATATTACTTAGCACGATGCATATTGGAAAAGCATATGAAGTCTATTTTCATTTTTTTTTAAATCTTTGAAGAATATGAAAATTAGATAAACATTATTAAAAGAGTTAGACGATATGATCCACTTTACTTTTGGCGGCAAATGATTTTAATTAAAACTGGATAATAAATTCATACAATTCTTTATCTCCTTAAGTGAAATACCATATATAGATATGATATTTTAAGGAGTAATTATGTTCCAATATATATTTTTCTTATTTATATTGATTTTGTGAAAATTCTTTAAACTTTTGAGCAATAAAGAAGGAAAGCGATAAGGAATTTTTACATTCCTATACCATATAGAAAATCTTATTACCCTCAATGTTTAAGGTTCGATATAATTACATTTAGTATATCAAATTACCAATTCTATACCATAGTGTATTTTAAAGGTACAATTAATGCAGCGTATATCCCTCCTTAATTCAAGGTACCGTATATCTGTAACGACCCGGCCGGTCGTTTTTGGAATTTACGTCCCGATTCCCCATTTATTGCTTCCCCTACGTTCATTTCTGCTATTTTGGTATGCCGGGACGTTCGGTGTTAACTTTTGGAGAATTTTGGGACACTTAGTCCCTAAATGAGAGCTTAAGTGTTGAAAAATGGTCCGTAATTAGAACAGTGTGAAGACGACCTCGGAATGGAAATCCGATGATTCCGTTAGCTCCGTTAGGTGATTTCGGGGTTGGGAGCGTGTTCGGAATGTATTTTGGAGGTTCGTAGCTCATTTAGGCTTGAAATGCCGAAGTTTGAATTTTTGAAGTTCCGGTCCGATAGTGAGTTTTTGATCCGAGGGTCGGATTGGAATTCCGAAAGTTGCAGTAGCTCCGTCATGTCATTTGGGATGTGTGTGCAAAATTTCAGGTCATTCGGACGTGTTTTGGTTAGGTTTTTGATCGAAAGCGTATTTGGAGGAAACTTGTAGTTCTTAGGCTTGAATCTTTGATTTAATCGGGTTTCCGATGTTGTTTTAGGTGTTTTAAGGATTGGTAAAAGTTTGAATAAGGTATTAGGTGGTATTGGTGCTTTTGGTTGAGGTCCCGGGGGCCTCGGGATGATTTCGGATGGTCAACGGGAAGAAATTCTAAAGTGTGCAGCAGCAGATTTTGAGTCTTCTGGTATTTCCGCTTCTGCGGCTTGGGAACCGCAGAAGCGGCTTCTTCATCGCAGAAGCGATTCCAGGCATCTCCGCAGGAACCGCAGAAGCGGTCCCTTCCTCCGCAGAAGCGGGACCGCAGAAGCGGGATTTGAACCGCAGAAGCGGAGTCTGGCCTTAAGTGAAAAACCGCAGAAGCGGCTCGTGGTCCGCAGAAGCGGGACCGCAGAAGCGGTCCCTTGTCCGCAGAAGCTAAAATGACTGTTCAGAAATATCAATTTCGAGGGTTAAATTTCATAAGTTTGAAAATCGATTGAGAGCTCGGGAGAAGGCGATTTTGAGTGGGTTTTGAAGAGAAAATCATTGGGTAACGTTTCCTTGATCCCTTTTCATTATATTTCATCATTATATAGCTAAATACATCATTGGAATTCGAATTTAGGATCAAAAGTTGGTTAATTTGGGGTAAAACTTCACTACCTAAACTATTGAGTTTTGAGTGTGCATTTGACCTCCGATTTGGGAGATTTTTATATGGTTAGGCTCGTCAGGGTACGAGGGTTCTAAAAAAGTGAAAATTATTCGATTCTGAGGCATTGGCCTGAAGGGCATTTTGGTCATTTCACCTAATTTCACGCCGTAGCTTTAAATTTAATAGCAAAACCAGGTGTTTGTGATGTTATTTACAATGTGTAATTGAATTGAATAGATTTGGGCCATTTGGAGTCAGATACTCGTGGCAAGAGCATGGTTTCTAGTTGATATTGAGCCGGTTCGAGGTAAGTGGCTTGTCTAACTTTGTGTGGGGGACATTTTTCCCTTAGGATATGATCTTGAATATTTGAATGCCCCGTACGTGAGGTGACGAGCGCGTACTTGAGCTAATTGTTGTAAATCCGTTTCTACTTGAAGTATTTAAATTGAGATTTCTTGTTTACTTGTTCATTTTAACTGTGAATTTGTACCTGTGCTAGCTTAGAGACTCATGTTTAGCTGGCTTACTTGCTTATTTGCTTTAACTGTGCTATTTGTACTCTGTGAAGCATGTTAGGCTATAATATACTACTTCGTGTCCTGATTTTTTTAGCATTGTTCCGAGATTTATGAATCGTTGTTGTTGTGTGTTTAATTTGGGACTACGGGACGGCTTCCCGGGAGATCCCTCTGTACTCGAGATATTCTGGACTGAGGGTGCGGGATACCAAGAGATCCCTGGCACATGTGTTTCTATAGATATATTGGGATACCAAGAGATCCCCGGTTTACTTATTGAGTATACCAAGAGATCCCCGACTTACTTATTGAGGATACTAAGAGATCCTCGGGATACCGAGAGATCCCCAGTGTTGATGATGAGGATACCAAGAGATCCTCGGGATACCAAGAGATCCCCCGGCTACTATTCCTTGCTGAAGGCAGTTTTCCGTGTATTGTTACCTTTGCCTTCTATTACTGTTCTTCCTTATTTACCTGGTTTAGATTCTCGCTGTAGACTTTATTTAAACTGTTTCTGTTATCTCATTATTTACTATGTTATCTCAGTAGGGCCCTGACCTTCCTCGTCACTACCCAACCGAGGTTAGGCTTGGCACTTACTGAGTACCGCTGTGGTGTACTCATGCCCTTCCTGCGCATGTTTTTCATGTGCAGATCCAGGTACTTCCTCCCAGACGTATCATCCTCGTGGTGGAGAGACCTAGCTGAGACTTGAGGTATATCTGCTACGTTCGCAGACCAGGAGTCTCTACTCTATTCCGGCTTTAGCAGATAGTTCCTTTTCTTTCCTTTCATGTTGTTTAGACATTCTGGTGTAGAGCAATTTACTTCATTCTATTAGCCTGTGTTTCCCGTGAGTTTCCGGGTTTTGGGATTTAGTTGTAGACTTCCGCATATTTTGAGTTGTATAGGCCGAGTGGCCTTATATACAGTTGTTATTTCCGTATGTTCAGTTTAATTCAATTATTCCGCAAATGTTAATTTGTTATTCCGCACTGTTAGGCTTATCTAGTTGTAGGAACTAGGTGCCATCACGACATGTTCATGAAGGGTGAACTGGGGTCGTGACAATATCCCACCCCTCCCACGTTTCTCTCTCCCAAACTCTCATCCTCACCCACTTTTTACTCTATCATCTTTATTACGTCATACCACCAAGCATCAAAACAGAGCACTTTTGTAACCACAAAACAGAGTAACAAAATCTTATGCAATTTTAACCTCGATAGTTTTGGGTTTCTTAGGCTCAGGTGGAGGCAGCTTCTCGACAGTCACCTTCAAAACTCCATCTTGACAAACTGCAGAAATGGCATCGATATTCGCATTCTCCGGTAGAGAAAATTTCCTCATGAATTTTCCAATCCTTCTCTCCATTCTAATATACTTAGCCCCTTCTTTCTCTTCTTCCCTCTTCCTTTCTCCACTTATCAGCAGCACATTGTCGTCTTCCACTTGCACCTTAATATCTCCAGATTTCAACCCTGGCATGTCCACAACGAAAACGTAGGAATTTGGGTATTCGTTCACGTCGGCTGGTGTTGCAGCCATTGCCTTAGCGTATAATACAAATAATATACAATTTATCTACAAAATATCTACAAACTGGGTACATTGAACTTTAATATCCCAATTCCCATTCAATTGTAGCTTAATTGGTATTTTCGACATAATTTCGTTTTTTGCAGAAGATTTTGTAGAAGTTTTAGTCGTTTTGGATTTGTGAAAACAGAAAACAATGCATCTACAATCAGAATACAAATAATCTACAATTCATCCACAAAATATCTACAAACTGGGTATATTGAATTTTAATATCCCAAATTCCCATTCGATTGTAGTTTAATTGGGATTTTTGACATAATTGCGTTTTTTGCAGAAGATTTGTAGAAGATTTAGTCGTTTTTGATTTGTGAAAACAACAAAGCATCTACAATCAGAATACAAATAATCTACAATTTATCTACAAAATATCTACAAACTAGGTACATTGAATTTTTATATCCCAATTCCCATTCAATTGTAGCATAATTGGAATTTTTGACATAATTGCGTTTTTTCAGAATATTTGTAGAAGTTTTAGCCGTTTTTTATTTGTGAAAACAGAAAATAAAGCATCTACAATCAGAATACAAATAGTCTACAATTTATCTACAATTTCTACAATATGTCTTCTTCTTCTTCTTCTTCTTCTTCGAGTTCAATCTGAAATTCAGTCAAAACCAAGTCTAATCTTCACCAAAACCCCTCAAAATTGAGATATAAACTCCAAATCATATTCCCGATTATTTTCAACAACACTCAATCCAAACAAATAATGATTTTTGAAAACCCAAATTTGAATTCAAAGCTTTCAAGCTTTTTAATGGCTGTCAATGGTGGAATTGCTGCTATCTTTTCATTTGCTTTGTATTACTGAAATTTGCGATTGAGAAATAGAGATGTAGAGAGAATGTCGACGATCTGAGCTTTTGCAGAACTGATTTCTACAAATTGATTCGAATTTGTTGACGATTTTGTCTTTTTTTGATTTGTGGCTTAAGGAAAAATATCGAAGAACAGAGTTTTTGCAGAAAAGAGTCTATGTAATTTGATTTTAAATTGAAGATATAGGATTTGCGTTTCAAATTTGATCTGAAGGTCGCTAAATCAATTAGAATATTCTGTTCCTGATTTGTAGCGCGCCTAACTAGGAAGGAATCAGCTCCTAATAATTAATATTTAATGAATGGTATAATAATTGTAGAAAAACTGTGAACATGGCGGGTAAATATGAAACTATGCACATTTTTGGTAATAAGGTTTCATATATGGTATAGGAAGGAAAAAGCCTCAAGCAATATTTATAGGATCAAAGTGGGCCCCCAATTAAAACATAGGATTTCAAAACGGCATAATACATAAATAGACCTCAAACTTGGCCTCAGCTGGCAAGTATCCCTTCTAACTTTTGAATGTGCACAGGCAGGTACCTTAACTTATCTCTACTTTGTTGGTTGAATGCTCCAACTTATTACAAAATATCATTTAAACAACTCTAAAATTTATGTGCCACGTTAGTATCTGTGTTAAGTGTTTAACTTTATATAAATTGAGGTGCTTATTTGTGTACATTTAAAATTGAAGGGTATACTTGCCAGCTGAGACCAAATTTGAGGGCCTATTCATATATTATGCCTTTCAAAACCCAAAACCGACTTGTTTTAGGAATAAAACGTAAAACCCCACCTTATAAATAGCAGCAGCATTTCACTAATTCCTTTACATAACCTCTGTTGTGAAAAGTTTTGAGTTACAAAAAAACAGAGAAAATCATGGCAAAGCGGAGGAGAAGAGAGGTTTCAGAGGAAGAAGAAGAAGAAGAAGAATTCGGCTATAGAAGGAGGGCGGCTTCACAATTTTTCAGAGTTAGAAGCAGTAGACACTGATGAAGAAGAGGACGACGAAGAACAAGGTGAAGATGATTTTATTGATGATACTGAAGTTCTGGACTCCGATTCCAACGAAAGAGAAGATTTTGTTTTTCGAAAACGTGAGATTGTTCGTCCACAAATTGGAGAAGAAAACGAAGACGAAGATATTGACGAATTTGAAAGGAGAATAGAAGAAAGGTATGGCAGAAAAGCGAGATACGAGGAAGAGGAAGATGAAACAGAGGTATTTCAGCAAGCGCTTTTGCCTACAATTAAGGATTCTAAGTTATGGATGGTTAAATGCGCAGTTGGTTATGAAAAGGAAGTAGCAATATGCTTAATGCAGAAGCAAATTGACAAAGCTTTTAACTTGAAAATTAAATCGGTTATAGCACTCGATCATCTTCAGAATTATATATACGTAGAAGCAGATAAAGAATCTCATGTTAGGGAAGCATGCAAAGGGATGAGACATATTTTGCTGAAAAATAAGATTGTGTTAGTTCCAAATTCAGTGATGTCCAATGTGCTTTGTGTAAAAAGTCGAGATAGAGAATTTACTAAGGATTGTTTGGTGAGATTAAAAACTGGGAATTACAAAGGAGACATTGCTCAGATTGTGGACGTAGATGATATTCAGAGAAGGGTCACTGTAAAATTGATTCCAAGAATTGATTATCAGGATTTGGTTAACAAATATGAAGGTAATTATAAACCAAAGGAAGTTTCAAGTAAAATTTGTCCTCAACCAAGATTTTGGAGTGCTAGTAAAGCTAAAGCATTGGGCATTTCAGTGAAGCGTTCGAGGGATAGAATTACTGGGGATTATTTTGATATTGTGGATGGCAAGAAAGTCAAAGATGGTTTCTTGTATAAATTAGTGTCGTTTAAGTCAATCAGTAATAAGATTCAGCCAACTGTAGATGATCTTGAAAATTTTCATACAGCTAAGGAGAGAGTAGATGATGACGACATTAATGCAGAAATTTTATCTTTTTCTGCAATGCTAGCAAAGAATATGAAGAAAAATTCCTTTACAGCAGGAGATAAAGTAGTAGTTGTCAATGGAGATTTAATACATATAAAGGGATTGGTTCTGAAAGTTGAGGATGATATTGTTTATTTCAGACCAACGAATGGAGATCTGCCTCAAAATTGTCTTGAAATCAAGAGCAAAGATTTGACCAAGCTACTTGAAGATAATGTTTCTCAGGTTGCATATTGTGAAGAATCAGTATCACTAGTTAGTAAAACTTATAACAACAAAAGTAGAAATAGGGATGAAAGATCAGGATCAATAGCCAACTTTAGACCTCTAGATCCACCTCCTAAAAAAGGATATGGATTTGGAAGAGTAAGGCGTGATCCATTGGTGAATGCGCGAATTAAAATCCGTCAAGGACCTTATCATGGGATGGTTGGAACCATTGTAGAGGTTAGAGGGAGTAAAGTTCGGGTAGAATTAGAGGCTCAAATGAACTCTGTTTATGTTAATCGCAATCAAATTTGTGAGAATGTGAACAATTCTGGCTCTGGTTTAGGGGGTGAAACTCCTATGTATTGTGCAACAACTCCAATGCATCCATTGCTGACTTCAACAAGAGATTCTGCTGCAACACCTATTCATGAGGGAATGAGAACACCTATGCCAAGTAGAGCATGGAATGGTTACTAGCTAATTGAAGTAGTCTTTAACATTCTTCTAGTTCGTACTTTGTTCCTAGTTTTCTTCTGAATGTTAATATGTTTACCATTAAGTTATATGGTTTTGCTCTTCGATATGCAGAGTTGGATTTATATTAATGGAGTATCAAATTTTTTCATTTCACTTGTCTTGGTAGCATCCTAAATGTATGATAATGAGTAATGACTATTACGTTAATGGTCAGAACAATCTGCTTTTCATATTATTCCAGCTCCCAAGTGATGTACCTCGAACATAAGCTGAGATGTGTTATATCTGCAAAAGGAGAATTTTATGTGTGTCATGATTAGAAGAGGAATGGGATGGGATGAATGAATTTTTAATCCTCAAACTTTATGTTACAATTTCTTGCAACATTCATAAAATTATGATACTTATGCCTTTATCATAAAACTCTTCCCTAATTTTAACCATGTATGCTTTATAATAAAAATCCTCCTCAAAATTTTATGTTACAGTTTCTACAACATTGAAATCGTTATGATACGTAATGCTTATAATCCAAATCCTCCCTAATTTTAACCTGCATTTCGATCATTTTTATTCCAGATCAAAGATAGAAGAAACAAAACTAAAAAGCACCGGGAGATTCCCGCCAAACAGAATATATTAGCTATATGAACTTTCTTCATATATTGGTATATTTCAAAAAGAAGAAAAGTTGGTTTATTAAAAACACATATATTTGTGTTACATACAGTATAAAAGTAAGTCTAGTAAAGGATTCAAAGCCAAAGGGTGAAAGATGATCAAGTTCGCGGTATTGATTACTAATATGAAGAGGAAACAGAGGAAAGGTATACCGCTATTACAAACAATAACAAGGAGAAAGGGACACTTGAGCTGTATGGGGGGAATAGGCTGCAGGCCATGAGAATACCAGTGGAAGGCAGAATTCATAAGCTGCAACTTCCAGATCAATCCAGAAGCTCGTGAGCCCAAGACAGCACATATATGAGAGTGATAATGTAACAGGTTTAAATGAATCTAAAGTGACAAAGTTGGTGCTACTGTAAAAACAACTTCATGGAGGAAATATCTCCGAACTCATTTCAGCTGAGTGAAACTTCGATTTCTCATTCTAAATTGTCCCAATTTCTGTTTTTACATATACAGACAACAGCAGATGTTTCCTGGCAATTAAACTAACTACAGACACATGAATTATTTACAAAGGGAAATCTACCATACTAAGAAAATGAGAAGATTTTCACACAGTATTTAAACTAACACAAAGTCTGAACATGAGAGCTTAGGAAACACTGAGAACAGAACATCTAAGTACTGAAGCTATGTCCAACCTGGTCAAATGTTTGATGATTTACTTTAAGCTTCTCCATAACATTTACGTGTATTCCTTTTCTGATCCAGTGTATCCACTTCCTGCAAAAAGCCAGGCCTGAAACTAAGAGCAATTAGGCACCTGAAGATGGAATTGAACAGAAATGTCCGTAGGATGATAAAAAGAGAGCCCACATACTGAAATACTAAACGTGTTCAGAAAAAAAGAAAAAGAATGAGAGAGAGAAGCTGAAATAGGCAAGGGAAGGGAATCATCATTTTGTCATCCACATTTGCAAAAAATAACAAAGGTAACTTTGACCATACCCCCTTTAAAAATTTGTGGCACTATGTCATTTCTCAAAACACCAGCGAGCTGTAATAGCAATACATAAATAGAAAACAGAGTTTGGCAACATAGGCTTTCAAAAATACAGCAACAGGGTTTTGGGACTCTTCCAATCTGAAAAGAACGAAACTGTAAAAAGGCATGTGACACTCATATGACTACTCTCTCAATGTTTTGGCAAAAATGCGGTGGAACAGCAAGGTGTACTGATTTTGAAAGCTTCTAGTAGCAAAGTGCAACCTTAAGAATAACTATTGATACTTCTCTACCAAATGCAATGGAACCATACTTATTAGAATTAAAGACAGTTTAACCCTCACCTTGTATTATGCATTCTTTTGCGTGTTACATCAAATGTCTCTAGCTTGTCAAGGACGCAAGGATAGCCGACTCATTAGAAGTTATCCCGTTTCGGTAATCTAACCCCTTCTTCCCAATTGCACATATATGTACACGCATTTCATATTTCCCAACTAGCTCAAATATGCAGATATCTCCCATCTGGATGTCATTATCTCTGACAAATGCTGACCATCCTCCACAAAATGTGTGCAGCGTTTGTACCTTCATAGTCGGAATTGAATTTACAGTCCAGCATTCTCCTCTCAAGTTACGAAGCACGATCTCCGTTCTGCAGTTTGGGAGGTGTTCCATTGAGAACTGATATGGAACTTTCTGTTAGAAGAAATAGAAGGCTCTCAGAATATGAATTTAAGGCAAACAACAGTACGAGAAATGCCACAGTGCCAAACACCTTAAATTGGCTTAAGGAACAATTATCAACAGAAATAAGTCAAGATTTACAAACATTCTATGGTAGAATTTCTACCCCCATATAGTGAAAATGTTATTATGCCCTCAAAAAATAATAAAGAGAGAGGAAAAGAAACAAATCTGACCAATATTACTTCTTCCATCTTATTTTATGTGAACGGTACTAGGCACGAAGTTTAAGATCTTATTTCGACATAAATTTTAAAGTTATTTGATAGAAAAAAAAACATCATATTGAAGTTTAAAATGTGAACACTTGAATGAAATTGAAATATCTAAAATTGTGGAAGCTGCACTAAAATGGAATTGTGTTAAACGTTATGGAACATCCCAAAATGGAAGGAGTGCATATGAATTGAATTGGAGGGAGTACTCCAATATAAATGTCATCCGATGCTTGCTATGCAAAGTAACATTATAGGACAGCTAAACATTATCTTCTCTTAAATGCATTTACTTTTACATATGACCAATAAAACATAGACACCACTAAATTTATAATTACCTTTTTTTAGGTTCAAAAGGTTTACAACTACCCTTATAGGTCTCACTTACAAAACAAAAAAAAGGTATCACTACCAAGATTCACATCGTTCACAAAGATGCCTGGAGGCTGGAGCACCTACAATTGCCTTGCTTATAAGCAAAAATTAAGGTAGAAGATTCACTCGGATGACAATTTTATGATTTTTGTCGTTGATCGTATGTTCTGTTAGAAGGCCCTCATCAAAAAAGAACGTTCTGTTAGAAGGCAAAGAGGGTTCAACTACCAAACACATCAGTTCTATAAAGAGGCAAAAGAACAAATCTAGAAGAACACGGTATTGTCAAAGCTCAAAAGTGAGTGCACATAAATATTTTAGAACATCAACAGCTACAAAATAGCACCTGAACTCTGACAGTAATTAACTTTTGTACTCTTCAAATGCATTAGACACTAAATAGGCGTTAAGTCCAGTAGGCATCTAGATTCTACACGGGAAATCATTCGTCATGTTGGCAAATGTTTTGACATATAATCGAGAAATAATGAATGAATCAACTGGGATGGAAAAGGTCCAGACAATAACAATATATAAAAAGATATAACATGCAAAAAAACTACTCACCAGAGTGTACGAGCCACTAATATTGAACTTTTTCATGATTCGTACAAAATGAGGAAAATTAGAATTGAAAGATTCAGCAGCTAATTTCTCTTCAGGTACTGATTTCATTGACATGCAGCTCTTGGTGAAAGAACCCTGTTTATCCTGAGCAGGTATCCTGATTACTGTTTGAGAATGAAAGTTGAAAAGTTTCAATATGTGTTGTGTGAGGAAGGACAGCTAAAATAAGTTAGTTAATCACCATGTGAATTCACCTGAATCTCCACTGCTAATCTTTGACAAAAGGAGCTGATGACTCTTCAACATATTACCATGTTTCTCTTTTCCATGAGCGGATCCTTTTTTATCATATGTCTTGGCCTTTGCTACCTGCTGTAAACAGTGATTAGAATTTTCTCCCACTTTCGTCAACTTACATCCAGAAATTTTAACCGAGGTTGCCGCATAATCAGCAGCTAGTTTAACTACCTTACTACTGTAATCATTTCCTTCCTTTTCCACCCTCAGAACATGCACGCGTAATTCACACTTGCGGACAAGCTCAAAGATGCAGATATCTCCCAAATCAATGTTATTGTCGCGAACAAAGGATAACCACCCTCCGCAAAAGGTATGTGATGTTTGTACTCTTGTAGTCGGGATTGAATTCACGGTCCAAGTTTTTCCTTTTAAATTGTGAAGTAAAATCTTCACTTTGCATTTGGGTAGGTGTTCTGTGGCAAATTGATAAGGGATGTTCTGTCAAGAAAATATGAAGGAGATCAACAAACCAAGTGATGCATGTGCAGGTGGTGAAAAGAGAATAAACTTGTCTAATGCAATATTACTCCAAACTAAACATCAAATAAAGCCAATGTTTTCGGAGTGAATCATCTCCTAAGATGAAGCAAATCCAACATGGAAAAGCTAAGGCATACAACAAATCAATATAATGATACAGAAAGCTACAAAGGGTGGAACTGAACGTTACAACTACCTTGCTAGATTAGATTGTTGTAATATAGTCAACAACAACAACAAAAAAGATGGCAACATCAACAAAATAGCCTTGTGGTTCAACATAAAACAGGCAGGTTAAGGACAAACATGCAGCTACTAAAATAAATAGAAACATCAGTGGGCAGTTCAGATATTGTTGGCACACAAAAATATAACAAGCTAAACAACTTTACCACGCTGCACATAATTCTCAACCACAACATTCCTTATTGTCAAAGAAGATATGACAGCTCATTCGATGCAGTCATTGATAGCAAGAAATGTTGAGGCAAGACATTACAGAAGCTAAGATTACTCATAATATTTTGTAGTTGCACCAAGAATCACAAGAAATGTTGTTTTAGAGAAAACAGAAGACCTACTCACCAGGGTGTATGAACCACTAACATTGAACCTCTTCATAACTTTCGTAAAGTTGGGGAAACTCGAGGTAAACGAACGGGCAACCTTTTCTGCTTCTTGAGCAGTCAACCACATAGGTTCTTCAGAGGTACCATTGCCTGTTTTCACCTCTGCTTTAGATTCAAACTAGCAATAAATTTTCCAAATTTGTAACTGACAATTTTGTAATATAGCTGTTGCTAACAACTGAATTTCCTTTCCATTTAGAAAAAAAAAAGTTAATTCGTAATAGAAATGCAGGGCAACAATGTATACAAATGCTTTGCACTATAAGAACTTACATTACTAAGTTATAAAGACCTAAAATATATCAAAATATAAGTGTCTCCTCCAACAGTTTAAATTTTTAGATAAGGTGGTCACACAATTCAACATGATATCAGACAAAAACCTTGAGTTCAAGTCTCACTAGTCACTGAATGCTAAAAGGAAAAATGTTCCAACGTGCACCCAGGAAAAAGGATCAGGCAAACATCTATGGAAGCTTGTTGCAAACCTAAATATACAAATAGAAGTGTTCGCCCCCTAATAGCTAAAGCTTCTAGATGAGGCGGTTGCAATTCAATGGGAAATATTGTTGTTTACTAAATGACTGTTCATAATTAGTAGGAACTGTAACATCAAATTGGGCTTGATTAAACATCTGGCAAACTCAAACAACACTTCTCAAACTAGAAAATCGAACTGCCAACAATAATGTAATAAACTATAATCTAACCATTTACCTGAGTTACTGCAGACAATCTCTGTTTGAGATGGCACAGCAATGGTAACTGTATTGGTTGATGCATTTCCAGCATTCTCCATTTCATTCAGAAAGCTAGAAGCATAAATTCTTCCATTTGAGCATGCTGTGCATTCGGAAGGGATCTGAGTGCTTCGCATTTTCTTAGGAACACCTTCAACAACGCATTCTAGTAAAGCTGAGTTTCCTCGGTCTCTTTTTGTCAAAGCAAGATTGTACAAGTTTGTTGCTCCTTGACTGCAGTCAGCGTTATAAGCAGCTTCCTTCTCACATGAACTTTCATCAAATGCTAGCACACTGAAATGCAAATCACCGTCATATCTGAAAACCAAAGCATCCCCATTTTCAAGGCAGTGATCTTTAACAAATGAACCCCATCCGTTGTGGAAGAATAAACCATCATCTTGCTGTATTAAGTCCATAGGCCAAGAATTTCCACTGGGACCCACCAAAAATGCTGTTCCAGAAGCTCTTCCTTCCATATGTTTAACGAATTTTGATGGAATTTTCTGCTACAGAGAATTCAGAACAGTTAATGAACTTTGCAAGAGTTGAACAATCTGGTCTTTTTCAACAAAATGCTAAATATGTTGCCAAACAGATCAAGTAAGTTAGTTTGTTAAGAAAGACTGTGAACTACAACAACATAACTCGGCACTGGATGTTTCATCAATTAATCTCAATGGAAAAGAACAATAATATCTCCAGAGTAATACTCGTCAACTGCTTGGTTTCGAATTTCGATTATACATATCAAATTACAGATCATAGCATCCAAATATATACATCGGCTCTAGAAGGCTGATGCTTTCAGGTTTGTGAGTTAAGAAGGCCAAGCACATAGATAAACATAGTCTACACGGGAAGGCATTCCATGATACGTCTCACTGAATATCTATGGGCGACAGTTAACACAAGAAGTTCAAGCACACAGACAAATGCAGTCAACACAGAAAGGCATCTGCTCTATTTCCCATTGAATATATCCAGTTGCAGCTTACCGAATATAAGACTAAGTTCCTCAGCTGTTCTTATAATAAATCATTTCATTATTTAAAACGCAGGAGGCAAGCCGTTTCAAGAGCAATGTAATTTGAGACATCCACACAGAACAGATACTGAAGGGTACTTTATCTAGATCCAATCTTTTCTTTAGGAATAAGACGAATAGGGCCGCCCACGTACTTCTCAGGAAGTATCACAAGTTAGCCCTGTGTCGCTCATTGCTATGGAAACCACTGCATTCTAAGTGCTAACACCTCAGTTTAGGATAGATTATAAAGTTTGTTAAACTTAAACATCAAATGAACCAATGTCTGATACATAGCACATCCAATACTCATATAGGTATGACATAATTGTTTACCAAGTGAACTACCTTCAGCTTAAAGTACTCAACAAAAAATACTAACTAAAACAGCAGCTAAATAAAAAAACAATCACAATGCAGCAAACAGGAATGTACCAACAAATTGTGAAGCAACTAGTGCTTACCAATGTTTCAGAATGGATTGAAGGGTTAAAACCCACAAGAAAATGAGGCCTTTTTACATCCCACATCTCGGTATTAGTCTCCTCTTAAACCTAAATTTTGAAGTTAAAACCCTAAACAGCCCCAAAAAAATTCTTCAACTCCATTTTTCTTAGAATGTCATTTCTGAATCTGGGGATGTAAAATTAAGTAAACAAACAAACACAAAGTAATCAAATTCATAAAGCAAATACTGAAAATCGTGAAAAATGAAAACTCAATTCACGCCTAAAATGAAGAAATTTTAGACGAAAATTGGAGTACCAATTTCTGCATAGAGAAATGACACGAGGGAGCTGGCGGGGGTCGGGGGTGAGTGAAATTCCTGTAGTACCCATTGTGAGATGAAGCGTGAATTACACGCAGAACAAAATGTTCCGTTTTTGCAATGGTTTGAGGGCTGTGACTCTTACGTGGAAATCAAGGCGCGTTGTGAAGAAAGAAAGTACAATACTTGTGATGTTATGAATTAGATCCAAGGTGTCGAAAAAGTTCCAAATTTCCAATTGCCATTTTCCCATATTGTTAAAACTTTTTTTGGAATTAAAAAAGGGCCAATTTTACTTGGAAAAGAGATATTAGTTCAGATGATATGACAAAACCGAATACAAAGCATTCAATTAGTCATTGGATGATTGAATTTTTTTTTTTTTTATGACTGGTGGTCGGACTAGTTTATGTGTACTTCACTTAATTCTACAAGGTGTCAATATCTCCCATCCACGTAACTTTATGTACCTAAGTTTGAAAAAATAAGAAGAACTTCGGCTAATTCTATGAGATAACGTCATCTCTCATCCAAGCAATTCTATTCACCTAAATTAGGACAAATAAGAAAAAATCATCTAATATTTTGACCTCTGCCGGAATTTGAACTGAGCATAAAATTGTGCATCGGAGAGGAATTAGAAAACTCGCACTCTACTTGAATAGTGTGTAAAGTTAACTGACAAACTGAATAAATTAAAATTTAAGCTACTTACAAGTTACAATAGCTTTTCAAGAAATCTTTTCCTTTTTTGGCAATTTTCCGAAAAAGATTACTTATTCGGATCAAAATATACTGGAATTTTAAAGTAATAATTTTAGTTCAAAACATGAATATTTATTAAAAAATTTACTAAATAAGCATAAATCATAGAACTTGAATTCAGTAAATTAAATTTAGTAGAATCACGAAGCTAAACTTATAAAATTTTAATTATGGATTCTATCTCTGAAGACAGGGGAGAGGTGTGGTCGTATAGGGTAAAATATGTTCATATTTAATGATCGCATGAAAAAGCGACACGTGGAGTCAAATACAGCAGATAGTCGGGTCCGAAGGCAACGATCTCATTTGTTACTGGAGAGAATGACATTCATAAAGGTAAAATAAATGTCTGTCCCTCGGTAGCACTCAATGAAAAATAATCTATAGCATTAAGTCCATGCTCCGTTACAAAGAATATGGCATTCACTGCCTACTGTTACACATTCTTCAATGGCCCTCATAATTGTTATTTAAGAGGGGCTTGATCCTAGGACCTTGTTCCCTAGGTGCATCTATAAATAGTAAGCTCTACCATCATTGTAAGGACACGAATTTTCACAAGGGCATACACTCGACTTTGTTCAAAACTCAATAACATTTTACTTTCTTGCTTATTTATATTGTTCTTACTGCCTCCGAAAGCTCTATTCCAGGTGGGCGCCTGATTGCCAAAACTTGAACTGTATTCCCTTGTTTTCCAGGTGGGCGCCTGATTGCAAAAACTCGAATTGTATTCCCTTGTTATCCAGGTGGGCGCCTGATTGCCAAAACTTGAACTGTATTCCCTTGTTATCCAGGTGGACGCCTGATTGCCAAAACTCGAACTGTATTCCCTTGTTATCCAGGTGGGCGCCTGATTGCCAAAATTCGAATTGTATTCCCTTATTTTCCAGGTGGGCGCCTGATTGCCAAAATTCGAATTGTATTCCCTTATTTTCCTGGTGGGCGCCTGATTGCCAAAACTCGAACTGTATTCCCTTGTTTCCCAGGTGGGCGCCTGATTGCCAAAACTCGAACTGTATTCCCTTGTTCTCCAGGTGGGCGCCTCATTGCCAAACTTGAAATGTATTCCCTTGTTATCTAGGTGGGCGCCTGATTGCCAAAACTCGAACCGTATTCCCTTGTTTTCCAGGTGGGCGCCTGATTGCCAAAACTCGAACCGTATTCCCTTGTTTTTCAGGTGGGCGCCTGATTGCCAAAACTCGAATTGTATTCCCTTATTTTCCAGGTGGGCGCCTGATTGCCAAAACTCGAACCGTATTCCTTTGTTTTCCAGGTGGTCGCCTGATTGCCAAAACTCGAACTGTATTCCCTTGTTCTCCAGGTGGGCGCCTGATTGCCAAACTTGAAATGCATTACCTTGTTTTTCAAGTGGGCGCCTGATTGCCAAAACTTGAACTGTATTCCCTTGTTTTCCAGGTGGGCGCCTGATTGCCAAAACTGGAACTGTATTCCCTTGTTATCCAGGTGGGCGCCTGATTGCCAAAACTTGAACTGTATTCCCTTGTTTTCCAGGTGGGCGCCTGATTGCCAAAACTGGAACTGTATTCCCTTATTTTCCAGGTGGGCCTCTGATTGCCAAAACTCAAACTGTATTCCCTTGTTTTCCAGGTGGGCGCCTGATTGCCAAAACTCGAACTGTATTCCCTTGTTATCCGGGTGGACGCCTGATTGCCAAAACTCGAACTGTATTCCCTTGTTCTCCAGGTGGGCGCCTGATTGCCAAAACTTGAACTGTATTCCCTTGTTCTCCCGGTGGGCGCCTGTTTGCCAAAACTTGAACTATATTCCCTTATTTTCCAGGTGGGCGCCTGCCATTACAACAAAACAGACAGAACAAAAGAAACTTTTCTGCCCCAGTTTGGTATCTGGGCACATCTGTGAGTGTTAATCGAATCATGTTACCCAAAAGCTCTAAGAATTTAAAATCTAAATCCCATTATCCAGGAGGGTCCTGAAAATTTAAAATTAAATCTCATCTTAGGAGTGAAAACTTCAAAGCTAAATTCTATATCCTAAAGGTAAAACTTACGCTAAATCTTATTATCTATGAAGGTCTTAAAAACTTAAAACTAAATCCCATTATCCAGGAGGGTCCTGAGAACTTTAAATTAAATTCCATTATCCAGAAGGGTCCTGAGAACTTGAAATTAAATCCCATTATCCAGGGGGGTCCTGAGAATTTACGGCTGAACCTGTCTGGCACATGCTTTCCTTATGGAGGGTCCCTCCGGAACAAATGAAATTTTATGCCCCTATTTTAATCAAAGAAAATCTTATCAGTTTGAAAATGTGGTGGTTAGTTTACGGCATTCTTGCTGAAGGTGGCCTTTCCACTACCATGCTTTGTTCTGATTAGCTGCCTTGGACTGGCAAAGAATTGTTTGACCTTTTGATTGACCTCGACCACAAGACCCTGAATGACCCGAATGCCTTACACTCAACCTACTGTTTTACATTTCTGTCTTTCCAATTTGAACCTCTGTATTTTCCCCAAAATTCACGAAACCACTCGACCACTTGAATTTCCACTAACACCTTATTTTGCATTTTGCATCATGCTATTTCTGGTATGCTTTGGCCGCACTTTGCTTTGTGCAATTTGGAAGTTGGTAATAAGCTTTGAAATCCTTTCTTACTTGCTTAACAAGGCTAACATTGGAAAAGCCTTAGAGGAGTAGACCCACAAGAAAATGAAATGCAATGACTCCGAGAGTTAGGAATAAAGAAGAAAAATTGAAATAGGATGACTGTTTGAGGAAGAAAAGAAAAGAGACTTACCCGAGTGAGGCAGCTGGCATCAATGATCATGACATGCATTTCAGATTAATCAGCCTAGTCCATTCAGTCAATCACCTTTCAGTCCTCATACTTTATGCCCGGGGTTCCCGTCCAATTTTTTTGCAAAGTCAACAACCTTGTTCGGCTTGCGGCGCCCTGAAGGGTTTTCGCCAACAAACCTCTCTCATTTGTTCATCTCTCAACTCACCGTCGCCTTATGGTGCCCGTGAGAGTTTTCACCAATAAGACTCTCTTTTTAATTTCTCTCAGCTTTCCATCGTCCTACGGTGCCCGTGAAGATTTTCACCAATAGGACTCTCTCATTTATTTACTTTCCTTGTGTAGAACGGAGTGTTGCCCCTGATGTGAACCATACCTCTATCTTGCTTGACTTGGCATTCTCAAAGACTGATCGAAAGGTCTTTCTTTGGACCGCAATGTAGGCTTTGGATAGGGTTAGAAAGAAAGGATATCATAAAGGCTCAAAACAAACTTGAATGGGTTCAGAATTACAACTTTTGGAACCAGATCTTTTACGAAACCACAACTTCTGCCCCCGTTTCTTGGCCTGGGGAACTTTGAATTTTTATTTCGATGGGACCGAACCGTGAGGCTGCCTACGTATCCTTAAAAGGAATCAGGTCGAACGTAGTTCATGACATAGGAATTGCTTCTTTTTTTTGTTTACTTGTCTTTTCTTTTTCCTTCTCTTTTCTTTTTTCCTTTCTCTTTCTTTCTTCTTTTTCTTCTCTCTCTTTTCTTTTTTCTTTACTTCTTATTTTTTCAATTTCTTCTTTTTTTTTTTTTTCTCTTCTCTTTTTCCTCTTTTCTCTTCTTTATTTATCTTCCATGTCTGTGTTTCTGAACTTTCGCCACTGATTCCAAAAGAGGGGTATGAAAGAAAATAGATACGACTCAAAGGGGTAACAAAGGATAAAGTGTTTAGATAGTAAAATATATTGCCTTCGTCATTCCAATCTTCAAAACATGCCAAGTACAAACAAACAATTTAGACAAACCAAAGAAATCATACATAATATCTTTTGACCGCATCAGAGTTGATAGCCTTATCTACACATTTGCCTTCTATATCTGTTAAGTACAAAGCACCATTGGACAACACTCTCGTTACAATGAACGGCCCTTGCCAATTTGGGGCAAACTTGCCTTTCGCTTCAGCCTGATGTGGAAGGATGTGTTTCAATACTTGCTGACCCGCTTCAACTTTCCGGGGACGCACCTTCTTGTTGTATGCTCTTGCCATTCTCTTTTGAAACAATTGGCCATGACACACTGCTGCCAGTCTTTTCTCGCCGATCAGACTTAATTGCTCCAAACGGGTTTTGACCCACTCATCATCATCAATTTTGCCTTCAGCAACAATCCAAAGTGATGGAATTTCAACTTCCGCGGGCATCACTGCTTCAATTCCATACACCAACAAAATAA